GAGGAGGAGGCTATCCCTGGAGAAGCTCACGGGGTGGGCTTCTGGGGGGGCGCCCAAAGAGGCTCTCCGAGACTCCCCCCGTGGCCATGGGTTCCCAGGCGGGGTCCTCGGAAGCTCACGGGAGGCACTCCATGAGGTCTTCGGGCAACATCGACGCAACTGTGGCGTCCGAGCCGAGGTGCGCGATGGCCACTTCGCCCGGTCCCTGCAGCGTTCTGCGCGCCCTGCGGAGCCTAGCTGTGCACCCGCTGGTCTGCCAGACTGGTCAGAAGATCTGCCCAAGCCCGCTTTTGTTCACGAGAAGGGGCACTTAGCGGAGGAATGCGGAGGGCCAAAAGCGAAGGTGACAATTTGTTCAAGGAGAACAACGAGGAAAGGAAGACCGAACTATCCGCTGCCCCTCAGGAGGGCTCTCCCAACGGCGCGCAACACGGACAAGCGAGCACGTGCATAGCAAGTCGTAACAAAACATCGCATCGCGAAAGGAAGAACTCAGTCGCACTCTAAGCGGTCGCGCCAGGGATCCAGCAGAGCGACCAACAAACTGACACCGAGACACCGAGGCAGGGGAGGAGGAGAGGAGAGGAGGAAACGACTCGAGATATAGCAATGCATTCGCCCACGTCGCTGGTTATGCACCCCAGGTGGCCTAGACAGCCAGAAATCAGGCAACCAACACTGACGGGGAACGTCCGCACTGAAAACATGAGTCGGCTCCAACCTGCCGAGAAATAAAACTAGAGCCGAGACGACCCCACCGCCAAGGCGAAGGGAACACGCCCTTCAGAATCGCAAAGCCGGGCGGCGACGTCATATGGATACATGCCAAAGAAGATCAAACAAGAGAACAAGAGGGAGGAACGGCAACGACGCCGAAAGAAAGGACTTCACAGCCAGCCGCCTTCAAGGCATACGCCCGCAGGGCAACCGACGGCAATGCCAGATGGGTGGAGCGGGGGGGAGAACAGGCAGAGGAGGCAGAGAGCGGGCCAGCCCCAGCAGGGCCAGCCTGTGCTCCGCCTCCAGGGAGAGAGCGGGAGGACAGGGAGCAGAGGGAGAAGCCCCGGAGCCTACAGCTCGGCGTGCAAGACAAGGACGCCGCGCGGAACCGACGACACCGCGTCACGGCCTGCCTAAGGAGCAGCGCCACCAGCGCAAGCCGGTCGTCGCCGGGGCCTGGGTCTGGCGCTCCTGGGGCGGCATGCCGCCACTGGTACTCCTCGGAGGCGACGGTGGGGGCGAATAACTCCGGGGCGGGGGGCATTACATGGATTCGCCCTGGAGCCTTGCCGAAGGCATGAACCATCGGCACCCTTGGACACACGTATTGCCCTCTCCTGGGCTGTTCGCCCCATCGTCGCCCCCGACATTACAGACACGTTCGATCCAGCGAGCCCTGAAGACCAGCAGAAACGCACGACAGCCTCGGACTCGAGGCGCGCCAGCGGGCAGCCCGCGGACCGAGTATCGCCCACGCTGCCGTGACAGCCAACAACTGCAGACAGGAGGGGGGAAGGAGGAGAGGGAGGAAGGAGGAGGGCGAGGAGGAGGAGGAGGAGGAGGAGGGAGATCCGAATGTGCAAATGGCAGGATCGAGCGACAACGTTTGGTATCGTGCGAAATGGCGACTTATTTCACATATTCGTAATTCGCTTCGTCAAACGGTTCAGAATCCCGGGCTGCCGCCCGCGACAGTCAGGACGAGCGATACTGTTGAGTGGTACGTATGTCCACTTCAGCCACGGCAAGAAGCCAGTGGGGCAAGAGCGACCAATATCGAATCGCCAAATCGGATAGAATCGGCCGCGGAAGTCAGCGCAAGAAGTCGCGTATCTTCCGAGACTTTCAAACGCATTTGCAAAGTCAGCCGTCTGTGTCAGAGAGTGGAGAGACCGTGAAGACGCCAGGGGGCGTGGCAAAAGAGGGGGGGGTCTGCCTGCAACGCCCTGTGCCTGCAACGCCTTGAGCCGGCGATTGCCTTAAAAGCCCTGGCCCAAGCCAGAAGTAAACCAAACACCAGCCACAAACACCAGCCACAGAAAGAGGAGGAAGAGGATACAAGATACCCAAATGGCACGTGATACGAATCCCCTCGGATACGTATCGGCCCCGCTGCCGCATAGAGTTTGTGCTATAACCACACTAGGTGACCCAAACGGCCACGCTAATAAATCCAACAAAACAGTATGCCAGAAGGAAGGAGAGGAGGAGGAGGAGGAGGAGGAGGAGGAGGAGGAAGAGGAGGAGGAGGAGAAGGAGGAGGACGAGGAGGGGACATAGGACGCAAGATGCCCAAGATGGGAGCATCCACGTTGCGGAAAATTACATTCGACCAGAAGCAAGTGAAACACAGCGATACCTGAGCCAGAGCCCTAGGCTAGGCAGGTCAAAAACAGGAGGAGGAGGAGGAGGAGAAGGGGAAAACATGCGGCTGCACCAGCGCAAGCACCCACGCGGTCTCCGGGCCCCGAAGAGGGAGAGGGCGACAAGAAAGCAGGCAAGCAAGCAGGGGGAAAGGCAGGGCGGAACGGGGGGCACGACGCGTGCAGGGCGGGCGGGGGAGAGGAGGGGAGGGGGGCGTTCACTCGTCCGTGCCCCCTGAGTTTGGCTTTGTTTCCTTTGCCCCCAGCTTGCCGACGTTGCCTCCCACCTTGGCGGGCCGAGCAGACCAGGGCTGTGCTGACCTTGAAACAATGTGGTAGTGGACGTGTTTCTCAAATCTGCTGGGACTTCCAGCAAGCACCAGCGGTCAGCGTGCAAACGTTTCACGCCCAGCACCACGCGAGAGAGCAGCAGGCTAGGGAGAGAAGAGGAGGGAAGGCGACACGACGAAGCAGGAGAAAGGACGAGGCGATGACAAAAATAAACGAAACAACGCGCTTTGCAACAGATCCTGGCCACATTAATAAAAACAACGGCCGAATGTGATAAATACTGGCGACGACGACGCACACACACACACACACATGCAGAAGTGGAGGGGACAGAGCTGGCGAGGTACGAAACAATTGGGTGGCAAGTCGCTGATACAAGACTTTTTCACAGGAGTCTGCGCGAGATGCTGCAGCCTTGGGTGGCCGAGCACGACTACCCGAGCATAGTCGCGGAGGGCGTCTGGCGCATCTGTGGTCGACAGGCCGCGGCGCCATGCGTTATGCGCCCTGAAGCACGCGTGAACGCCAACGGCGCGACGGGCGATTGCAGCTGCGTTGGCCTGCTCCCCCCTGCACTGCTCAGGGAGGGAATGCACATTGGAATAATGCTCCAGAAATATTCCAGTCATGTTTCTGGCGGGAGTCGGCTAGCTCCAGCGACATAGCGACTAAAATGAAGAACATAATGCGGAGTGCTCAAGGGAGCCCACGCCTCGCTGGCAACTAGAAGGCAGCCCTCAGATCCTTGGAAACTCCAGATGTGCACCAGCCGTTCCACGCCGAACGCACCTGGGAGGCTTGCACCCGATGGGGGGAGGAGAAGGGCGGAAGCAGAAAGAGTGCGCACAGGCGGCGGGGCGATGCCCCAAAGGCACTGAAATCCGCCCGCAGCCCAGCCTGCGCCTCACATGCACGGCCGAAGGGTGCCTGGAACTTACGCGGAAGACCCGCGTGGCGCGGACCTGCCAGCCCTCCCTCTTGCCCGCCGCGGAGTCGGCTGCCGTCAGCGAAGGGCCACCCAAGCGCGCCGCCTGCTCCGCAGATGACAGCGCGGTGGAAGCCGCCCACAAGTGGAAGACGCAGCAATCCTCCACGGAGTCCCAAAACTTGTCGACCTCATGCCGGTTTCCCAGCCGCTCCGCCATGCGCCGCAACCTGCGGGCCCTCGCCTGCACTATGAGGTCCCCGTGCGCCGCGTTCTCAAAGCGAGCCACCCGAGCCCGGGCCGCCAAGGCAGCGCTGGGCACGACCGGCAAGTTTCGCGGGAAGCGGAACGCTCGGAGAGCCTTGAGCGCGGCGACCGAGACCCAATCGTTCGACCCATGGCATAATAAAGAGCACGTCTTTTGCCCGATGCCAGCGAAGGTCGGCGGCAGCGCGGGCAGCTGCGCGACGAACATCACGACGGAGACGAAGTAGACCTGGAACGCGAGTATCAGCTGGAGCAGACCTACTCCCAGCTTGACCGACCTGTCCACCCCGTCGACATACTTCTTGAAAGGCGTCGTCCAAGAGGACTCCGCCCCGCGAGTGCCCCATTATCGTGCCCCGGCGCTTTGCTTTCCCGGCGATAAAGCTCACCCACAGCACCGCTTATCGAACAACGCGCGACTGGAGCTCGTCCACGCCGTAGGGAAACAGCGGCACCAGCGCCGACTTGCGCCCGCGTTGTCTGAGACCAGGAAGGCGCTCAAACTTTAAGTAGATGTCCTGCGCCAGCCCTCGCGCCGCACGAGCCCAGGGTCGACCAACGCCGCGTCGTCGGCGCGCGCCCACACGCGACGGAGGGCACGGCGCGCCCCAACCTCCCGAGGGGCAAGTCTGACGCGACCGCGAACAAGAGTAGGGAGAGCGGGCGCCCCTGGCGGACTCCTCGGTCAAGCCTGACGCCCGCGTGCCTAGAACCGCCCAGCGCCGCGGAGCACGCGTCGCGGGCGCCGGGGTGGCAAACCCAGCCGGCGGAAGGCGGCGAACCAAGCGCCGCGCTTGATCGGGAGGAACGCTGCCGCGAAATCGAAAAACAGCGCCCCTCCTTCGTCTGCGAGACGCCATCGCTTCTTCCAACCACCATATGGGCCAGCATACTCCTGCCTGCAGAGAAGCCCCTTCGGGCCCACGTGACCATTGGGCCGGCCACATGCTCGATAAGGTGGCGCACCGCGTTGGCCGGCAAGCGGCTGTCGGCGTCGGTCACCGACAGGGGGCGGGCGTTCTGGTAGGCATCGTGCCCGAAGGCGTCTTGAGGAGAAGGAAAAGCAGGCTGGGCGTCAGGGCCGCCCACTCGTCTGCTGCGAAATCCCCGCCCACGTCACTCATCAGCAGGCGCACCGCGCCATGCTAGACGCTTCGCGGACTGATGGGGGCATCGCCGCCACGCCAAGAACCCCATGCCATCTGGGCATGGAGCCAAGTTGTTGGAGCGCTGGATGGCGCGTCGGACGCGGCGCAGGCGCAGGCGGGAGGAGGCGGCGGGCTCCTGGAGGGCGTCTGCCGCTGGCCTGTGATCCTCGCCCCTTCGCAGCCAATCATCCAGCACCTGCTCGTCGACGCCCCTCGCGGCGAAGACCCGCACCCAATACCAGCGCCGCTCCTTCGCCATAGCCGCGGCCGCGATGAGGACCTGCCAGCTTTGCACATCACCACCGACAACTTCGCGGTTTTGCCGAGAGCGACTCGCTGAAGGAGGCGGGCGTTATTCTGCGTTGCCTGCGCTGCCAGCCGCGGGTTGGACCCCGCGAGGTCCTCGCGCGACTTTCGGAGCTCATCCAGAGCGCGTTCGCGAGCGAGGGCCATGGCGTGGCCGCGCGCAAGGCAGGGAAAGATTGCCGCTCGCGTCGCAGGGGCTGCCCACTCAATCCAACAAACGCGGGTGACGCTCCATGACGGACGAGACGGCGAAAGCCAGAACCTGCCCCACCGCCCTCGCAAATTTCATCGCGACGCGAATCGGTCCTCGAGGTCTGTCGCAAAGGCAGACGGCCCATGCCAGCGTCTAAGCAACAGGAAAGCGACCTCCTTCATCGTGTCCTCGTAAAAGCACAGCTTGCCGATGGGGGCGGCACCCCGGGCTTCTGCGAGAGTGGCGCGGCACCTCATCGCCAACCGTGAAGGGAAATCCTCGCGGCGGAGGGACCGCTCGGGCCAAATCCGCTCCTGCGGCGGAAGCCTCCTGGGCGAAGACCGGGGCGCAAAAAGGGCGCGATGCGCCGACAGGTCCAGCCGATCCAGCGCGGCTGCGCGCAACGATCAGTCTAGCTGCTGCGCGGCGCGGAAGTTCATGCAGGTTCTGTCCAGCCCGGCCCGGGAACACACGGCAACGTGGGTGCGTTCGCACTGGGAGAGCTGGCACTGGCCGGGCCAGCGAACAAAGCGCGGCCTGGAAGTGCGACTCCTCCCTCGGCCGCGTCGCGCATGCCACTCGGGCGCTGTGTAGCCAGGGTCATCCGATCATCCTGCCCCGTGACATAATTCAAGTCCCCGCCCAAAACAGTAAGGGTTCGATCCCAATTAATCAGTCGGTCCGAGAGGCGGTTACGCATGTGCGCACGCAGGACAGGAAAGGAAATAATGGCGCCACGGTGCAACACGCCGACACCGAGCAGGTCAATTTCCGTCACTGTCGGCCTGGTCGGGAAGCACGCCACGATCAGGTCGAGCGCCCCCTTAGGACCGCGAAGTTTGAGCTTGAGAGCCCGGCCTGCCCAGATGACCTCCCGGGTGATCTCAGAAAACATATTGAGGAAAAACTCCTATACCTAGATGCCGACCCCCGGCCAATTGACCGGCCGACCACGACGCGGTGGTCCCTGCACGGGTGCGCCAGGTTGCTTTGCCCGCGTTGGTGCCGTGGGTCTCGGTGAACATGCACACGTTGGCCTTGCCTATGAATTGGGTTTTTGCCTGTTGCCGCACTGGGTCCGCGGTAAAGAGAGCACGGGCGCTCCAGCGAACGATTTAAGCATATGATATGAACTGACCGTCGCGCCGGGCCGCGGCACATGGTGCCGATTGCGGGGCACAGCGAGCTGCCCCAGGAGCCGCTCCCAGACCTTGGGGTCGCCCTTCTCCGCGAGGGGTCGCGACCTCCCAGGCCTCCTGGACACGGTGGGGCGGCAGGTCACTCACTCACTCACAAGCCATACGCCGTCCAGCGCGTGGGCAGGAAAACAAGGTCAAGAAATCACAGACAGCAATGGGTGAAACGCTGCGCCGGCTAAATTGATCAAGAGGAGGAGGAGGAGGAGGAGGAGGAGGAGGAGGAGAAGGGGGAAGGCGCGCCTGCCAGGGACCACTGCGTGAAGAGCAGGTCATCGGCGGCCTCCCCGCGGGCGTGCAGAATGTCGAAGGCTCAAGCCGCGCTGGCTCAGGGCGGCAGATCGTCCCAGTGGCGGTCGATGGGGCCGTCGAAGGACCGCACAGGTTCAGTACCGCGACCGTGCCACGGAGCCCTCGCACAGTACAGTACATTTCCGTTCTGAGACCCCGAGCCTGCCATACCCCTAGGCTCTGGATGGGTGCTCTGGCGACGACCCCCAGCGTGGCGGCAAGCGACGGCATGAACACCGAGACCGACAGCTCCAGTGCCACGCAGGGCTCGGCAGCCTTGCGGCTGGACACGGACTTGGCCGCAGGCTCCGAGACGGACCAGCTGCACGCCATCGAAGTCGACAACGAAGACATCAGGAAGACGGCCGCCGCTGCTGCGACTGCCGGGCCCGCCACACCCACCCCCTCGCCCAACTCCTCGGCCCTACCCACGTCGATCCCGTTCGTCGAGGGCCAGCTCCCCGGGGATTTGGAGGATGAGGTCCTGGCTCACTTCAGCATCGTGCAAGCGACGCCTTGACAACGGAGGCCTCGACGTCCTTCGAGATGCCATCGGACTAGGCCGAGCTCACCGCCATCTTGAAGAAGGTTGGGTACCACCTCGACTCCGACGATTACTGAAGGCCTTGGGCTTCGCCTTCAACGAGGGCCCAGACCCGTCAGCCCAGTTCATCGCCAGACGTCTGCGCAGCTTGCGATTCCTGTGCAATTTGGCTGAGAAGGGGACGTGGGCCAGTGCCGATGTTCAACACGCCCGCGCCGCAATCGCGAAGATCTCTGGGGATGCCGCCAAGTGCGAGGCCGACCCGCCAGAGAATCTTCGCGCGCGACGGGTTGTGAGGGAGAGCAAGCTACCCTTGTAGAAGGAGCTCGAGCCGCAGGCCGTCGACGTAGTGCACTAGAACCACGCGCGCGCGCGCTTTGCGCGCGCTCAGGTTCTGACGCAGACCGTGGCAGCTGAGGGCCTCCTGGGTGGATGGTGGAACGCGCGCGGAGCGTGCGATCCGATAGCCGGGAGGACTGAGGCGAGGGAGAGTTTTTGAGGGAGTTGGCAGGCGGAGCCCTAGCTGGCCATCGCTCGGACGTCCATTCCCTGTGCTTTTGTTCGGTTTCGTGCGTGGTTTTTCGCCAAATGATCCAGGATGCTCCTCGATGGTCCTCGCCGAAGGACAAATCCACACGTCCGAGCGATGCCAAGCTAGGGATGATGGAAAACGCGCACAGAGTGTGATCCGGTGGTCGGAAAGGAACTTGGGGGAGTTTATGTAGGGGGGTGGCAGCCGCAGCACCAAATCTAATAGTCCTCCTTGGGGTCGACAATAGTGGTTTCCCTAGGGGCATGTTCGAAACATCGCCTTTCACCATGACAAGCGTTTCGCTGGAGGCGTTCTCCAAATATGTGACTTCGCGAATTCGGAATATATATGTTACAACATGGTGGTCTCGCCTCAAACGTCCTCCAACAAATGATATGATCGCAACGCCGTCTTTTACAAGCACAAGCAGCTCGCTTGAGACATCCTCCGAAAGTGGGGATCTTGGGCTATTCAAAATTCAACTTCGTTTCTAAAAATGATCATTTTGCCAGGGGCATCCCCAAACAATGAGATGATACTAACACCGTGTTGATATCATTCTCTGAATATCGTAAGACGGCCCACAAGAGCCCCCCACATCCTCAAATAACTGAGACGCCTTGGAGTCGGTCTTGGAAGACCTCAAAACGGTCCAACATAGCCCAACTCTAGCACGCCTTACTCCGCGCCTACAAGTTGCGAATTCGCTAGGGACATCCTCACAAACATGAAGTGTTGTCGACATCGCTCTTGCCCCAAATGGGGTTTTGCGAGGGACATCCCCACACAAATGACAATGTTGTCGACGTCGTCTTGGTCTCGGTCCTGCTCAAAGTTGCGATTTCGATCGGGACGTCCTCACACGGATGCAACGTTGTCGACATCTTGTCCAAAATACGATTTCGCTAGGGACATCCCCACACAAATGACAATGTTGCCGACGTCGTCGTGGTCTCGGTCTTGTCTAACATGGCGATCTCGCTAGGGACATCTTCAACGAATGACATGGTGTCGCAATCGTCCTGGTATTGCTCGTGCCCAAAACGGCGATTTAGCTGGGGACACCCTCACACAGTTGAAATGCTGTCGACGTCGTCATGGTGTCGCTCCAAGGTGGCCCACGAAGCTCCCAAACGGACTCCAGGATGGCCGCAGAGGGTCCGAAGACGGCCCGAGGGCCCCCCAAGACTGGCCAAAGGGCCCTTAGGCTCCACAAGGATGCGACAAGGGCGATGAGAAGAGAAGCCGTAGGAGGACGAAGAACGGACAAGCCAACGACCTCGCACCATCAAAAAATGAATTGCGCGTTCCGTCCCCATGCCAAGCAGGTAACGGAAAGAGCGAGGTACGAGTGATGACGTTCTGTTGGAGCGAAGCCCTCTAGGGAGGGGCCAGGGGAGGAGGTAGGCTGGCCTACCAGGATCCAATGGCCAGGCCCCATTCCCAGACGGCCTACGAGGTGCCCAAGACGTGCCAAGAAGCGCCGAAAGGCCGCCCAAGAGGAGTCCCAGAGAGCTCCAAGATGGCCCAACGCGCCCCAAGAAAGCCCAGGACCGCCTAAGAGCGTTCCAAGATGGCTTTAGATGGCCTCAAGACGGCCCAGGAGGGCCCCAAGAAGGTCCAAGAGGCCCCCAAGAGGACCACCATTGATTATCCTTAGGTTGTTCTATGGTGTTTCGACTCTCGCCTTTTCGGGCCCAGAACGGCCCAGGACGGCTCAAGAGGCCCCAAGGATCGTGCCAAGACGGCCCCAGGAGCCTCCAGAGGGCCCTAAGATGGCCCAAGAGGGCCCCAAGACAATCCATGTTGGCCCCAAAACGGCCCAAGAGGGCCCCAAGACGGAGGGTCTCCTGGAAGCGTTTCTGGGGCCTCTTGGGGCTTGCTCGTGGAGCTTCCTGAAGGCGTTTCGGAGCCGTTGCGATGCCTCGTAGGGCCGTGAGGAGGGAAAGTGGCGCACGTGTCGAAATCATTCCCAACCATCCTGTGGTGTTGGGTCCTCGTTTTGAAGAGACGGTGCCCCGCGTCTCCTCTCCTCCTCTCCTCCTCCGCCTCCTCTCCCCTCCTCTCCTCTCCTCCTCCTCCCCCTCCTCCTCCCTCCTCCCCCTCTTCCCTGCGTTTCACCCACCCAGTACAGCGTTTCGTAGCCCCATAGGAGCTCCACCGAAGGCCCCAGTACCCGCGCCCGCATGCGTCACCCACACCCAATTCGGCACACCCCTCACACGTTTCGTGGCTCCATAGGGAGCTCCACCGAAGGCCCCAGTGCCCGCGGCCGCATGCGTCACCCACACCCATTTCGGCACACCCCTCACACGTTTCGTGGCTCCATAGGGAGCTCCACCGAAGGCCCCAGTGCCCGCGGCCGCATGCGTCACCCACACCCATTTCGGCACACCCCTCACACGTTTCGTGGCTCCATAGGGAGCTCCACCGAAGGCCCCAGTGCCCGCGGCCGCATGCGTCCCCCACACCCATTTCGGCACACCCCTCACACGCTTCGTGGCTCCATAGGGAGCTCCACCGAAGGCCCCAGTGCCCGCGCCCGCATGCGTCACCCACACCCATTTCGGCACACCCCTCACACGCTTCGTGGCTCCATAGGGAGCTCCACCGAAGGCCCCAGTGCCCGCGCCCGCATGCGTCACCCACACCCATTTCGGCACACCCCTCACACGTTTCGTGGCTCCATAGGGAGCTCCACCGAAGGCCCCAGTGCCCGCGCCCGCATGCGTCACCCACACCCATTTCGGCACACCCCTCACACGTTTCGTGGCTCCATAGGGAGCTCCACCGAAGGCCCCAGTGCCCGCGCCCGCATGCGTCACCCACACCCATTTCGGCACACCCCTCACACGTTTCGTGGCTCCATAGGGAGCTCCACCGAAGGCCCCAGTGCCCGCGCCCGCATGCGTCACCCACACCCATTTCGGCACACCCCTCACACGTTTCGTGGCTCCATAGGGAGCTCCACCGAAGGCCCCAGTCCGCGCGCGCACAGCCCACACCCATTTCGGCACACCCCTCACACGTTTCGTGGCTCCATAGGGAGCTCCACCGAAGGCCCCAGTGCCCGCGCCCGCATGCGTCACCCACACCCATTTCGGCACACCCCTCACACGCTTCGTGGCTCCATAGGGAGCTCCACCGAAGGCCCCAGTGCCCGCGGCCGCATGCGTCCCCCACACCCATTTCGGCACACCCCTCACACGTTTCGTGGCTCCATAGGGAGCTCCACCGAAGGCCCCAGTGCCCGCGCCCGCATGCGTCACCCACACCCATTTCGGCACACCCCTCACACGTTTCGTGGCTCCATAGGGAGCTCCACCGAAGGCCCCAGTGCCCGCGCCCGCATGCGTCAGCCACACCCATTTCGGCACACCCCTCACACGTTTCGTGGCCCCATAGGGAGCTCCGCCGAAGGCCCCAGTGCCCGCGCCCGCATGCGTCAGCCACACCCATTTCGGCACGCCCCTCACGCGTTCCGTGGCCCCATAGGGAGCTCCGCCGAAGGTCCCAGTGGGTGTGCCCGCATGCGTCCCGCACACCCATTTCGGCACACCCCTCACACGTTTCTTGGCCCCATAGAGAGCTCCACCGAAGGCCCCAGTGGGTGTGCCCGCATGCGTCCCGCACACCCATTTCGGCACACCCCTCGTACGTTTCGTGGCCCCGTAGGGGGCTCCACCGAGAAGATATTCACAATTGCAGTATTCACAATTGCATATGGTTGGGTCCTTCGCCAGGATAATTGTTTTTCTGTAGGTTTGTTGGATTTGGGCATCTCGCGGGCATCCTGGACATCATCCGAAGGCGCTCTTGGGCGCTCTTGCGCCCTCATGGGGGCCTCCTGGGCTGTCTGGAAGCGATCTTAGGCCGTGTCGGGGTCGTCCCGAGCCGTCTGGATGCGATTTCGCACTGTCTGGAAGCCGCATAGGCACCAACGTGTCCAATTCCAAATCCTTCTAGGCGTCTGGGGCCGTATTGGAGGGATCTTGAAGGGACCCAGGCGCCCCAGCACGGCCATGGAGGGTCGAGGCACCTGTTCTGGGACCCCGGGCCGCGTCCCCTGGGCCTTAGCAATGCCGTACAAGTCAGCGCACTGCAAAGCAATGCAAGGAACCGAAAGAACCCGACGAGCCCCAGGAACTCATAGATAAGAACCTGCCTGGTGGGCAGAGGAGGACTGGAGGAAAGAAAAGGAATGAAGCGGGATCGCATAGAGTCCCCCCGCCCTATCCAGCACGCCCTTCACACACGGGTCGTGCCCTCCAGGGAGCGCCACCACTTACGGCCCCAGAGAAAGGCATGGTTCACATAGCATCCCCCCGCCAATTTCGGCACGCCGCTTACACGGATCGCGACCCCCAGGGAGCTCCACCTACGGAGCCACGGACAAAGTTCGCATGGCGCCCCTCCGCCGCCCACCTCGGCACACTCTTCACAC